ACACAAACTCTCACACACACAAACTCACACACACACACTCATATACACACACACTTTGTCTCACTACACTCACTACACTACACTACAGTCACAGACACAAACTCTCTCTCTCTCTCTCACAGGCATTAACTCTCACTGTAACACACACACACACACACACACACACAAACTCTGTCTCTCACACACACACAGACACAAACTCTCACATGCATATACACACTCACACACACTGTCTCACACACAGGCACAAACTTTCACACATACACAAACTCACACACACACTCACAAGCACTGTCTTGCACACACATAGACACAAACTCTTACACACACACACTGTCTTGTGCACACAGACACACGCACACTCACACACACTGTCTCTCACACACACACAAACTCTCAACACACAAACACACACACACATACAAACACACACATACACACACAAACACACACACAAACTCTTACTCACACACACACAGACACACACAGTCTCTCACACACACAAACACACACATACATACAGACACACATACACACAAACAGACACACACACACACACACATGTAAACAAATTGTTACGTGCAGTGAAACACTGAAAACACGGCACTGAGGGTAGATCAAGTTCGTAGAGCCAATACCGTGACGCTGTGTATCTCAGCATCAACTCTAAACATAACCTTTAACACAAGGAACTGGCAATGTGTTAATCTGAGAGATCCCCCTGCGGCGAGAGATGCCACTACTCCCACACTCGTTCCCCACTCACACATGCCCCCACACCCACACCCATTCCCCACTCACACACGCAACCCTCCCCCACACTCATTCGCCCCTCCCACATGCACCCCTCCCACACTCATGCCTCCCACACAACTATTCCCCCCCAAACAACCCCATCCCTATACCCATTCTATGCCCCCAACACAACCCCAACCCCCATACCCATTCTCCCCTCTAACACAACCCTACCCCCATATCCATTCTCCCCTGCCACACAACCCCACACCCATACCCATTCTCCTCACTAACACAACCCCATCCCCATTCCC